AACGGAAAACAAATACTGGTTACGATCCGGATGATGGCATTTCCGCTTATCGTTCTGTCTTCTTCAGACGAGGTTTACATTTATCACTAACTTGTTACTTTTTTTTTGTAGGAATGAATTATCCTCAAAACTTATTGCAAGAAAAATATCCGTTATTCTAACAAAAAAAATTTTTAGATTTTATGTATTTTTTTTAAACATATTTTAAGTGTAAAGGGTTTCATTACTTAAAGGATTCAAGTTCTGTCTGTTATTTGTCAATACAGTGTACTTGCTATTTTATATTATGCAATTAAAAATAATAATAATATTATTATTGTTGTTACTATTATTATTATTACTACTATTATTATTATTGTCATTATTATTATTATTATTATTGTTATTGTTATTGTTATTATTATTATTGTTGTTATTGTTATTATTATTATTATTATTATTATTAATTATTATTATTATTATTACTATTATTACTACTATTATTATTATTACTATTACTATTATTATTACTATTATTATTATTAATTATTATTATTATCAATTATATTATTAATAACTACTACTACTACTACTATTAATTATTATTACTAATAATATTTTTATTCCAACGGTTGATTCAAATTGGACTAATAATTGAGAGGATTTGAAACAGATCTACTATTTTTCATGATACACTTCTTTTACATTTGTATTGAAGCCTAAGTAATACTCAGTAATGAAATTGTATTACGGTATTGTGATTATATAAGGTAAACTCAACCAATATGATGAATGTAAATGAGGAACAGTAAGTTTTAGGAAGTGACATCGACGGTTTTACGAGTTTGTTCACCAACGAGGATGATGGTGAAGTACCACTTGTTCTCCGTAATTATGATATAACTCCAGTTCGAAGTGTTACAACATCACCAATACAACATAAGGTTATCATCACTTTCTTCAATCGACATTATAAAATTATCACTTATTTCAGTTAAAAGAACATAATTATTGCTTACTTCAGCAAACATTATCATTTATTTTACTTCATTTTGACATAAGTTGTATTTAATTAATTAAGATTGTGGAATTTGTCAGATGAAATAGCACAAATATCAAATATGCTTTTTTTGATATATATTACATATTTAAGACTGCTTACATTTCATTCTGTTGTGAAATGTATTTTTTTCAAAATATTATTAATATCGGTTGAAATATATAACTTTTTTAAGTAAATTAAATAATAAATATTGTGTTTCTTCATGGAATTTTCCATTTGAACTAAACATAAATGGTGAATATAATGTTTTTAAGTTCGGTTTTGTAATAGAAGACTATTTTAGATAAGTTACTGGATGAAGAAAGATGAAGCAAGGACGATGTCATTACCGAGAAATATCGGTGGCGAGTATCGACGAAATGGTTATGTGGTACCATGCAACCTTCCAACTCCTGCCAAATCAACTATTCAAGTAAAATATATGTGTATGATAAAATCATAATGTTATAATGTCTATTTGGAAAAAAAATAAAACTTTTATTAATTAGACAATATTGTAGTAATATTCACAATGAGTATTATAACGGAAATGTGATTTTAGAAAGATTCAGTAATGTCTGACGATAATAGTAGTAATGGTAATAATGGACAAATGAAAACTTCTTCAACGATAACGGTAAGTATCTTAGGATAAATTAAGAAGTATGATAAGAAGCAGCTTTTGTTTTTTTGTTAAGATATGCGCAATTGTCAATTTCAAAAGATCTCTTCTGAAATTTGCTTTATTCCAAGTGATTATTCCTTTTTTTCTTTATTTTTCTACTTTAGTAAATTCCCATTTATTATGCTACTTTTTTATTTGGTTTTAGCTTTTTTTTGAAAAAAAAAACGAATTACTTTGCTTAATATATTACTTTATTTCGCATATTTTATAAATATGTGTGAAGTGTTTTGGAGTTCTTTTTTTCTTTGCTATAAATGCTTTCTTTTCCTTTAACAATTTACAGTTTTCTCAAATCGTTCTAGGTGAGATAATTAGTTTTTGTTAAGACTCAAAAGATAATATCACTCCTGGTCTGATTCATCCGGAATTCTTTCTATTTCAGTTATAAAGTGATATTGTTACTGTTGGTAATTAAATCCGCAAAAATCAATATTTTGTATCTTCCATTGATTTTGTATATATTTTGTATCTTAACAAAACAATGTAACATTGTTTTGGAATAATGCATATTACTTTAATCATATGTTGTACTAGTGATTTTTTATTATGCTACTATATTATTGAACATATTACTACATTACTGAATATATTTATATGTATTCATTAATTACTTAATTCTCATTTTATTCATCTCCAAATTGCAAAAAAATAACTGCAATTTTTATTTCGTTTAAGTAATCAGCTGTATCAAATGCATAGAATAGTTTTAATAAGAATTAATATATATTTGGACAGTTATATTAGCAAATTCTATAAATTCAGGAGTCACGAGAATGGCGCCAAATTATTGAGCAACAACGTTTGCCGAGTCCTGGTGATCCAGAAAGTCGTAATGGAATTGATGCAGATTCGAAGTTTCAAGTTCGCCTAAATAAAGATGTTGGAACACATGAAAGGCTAGTTTTAGATTTTCAAAAATTTTCAATTCCGAAATTTCTACTTATTTTTTAATTTTAAATCTTTCTTTCAATCCAAAATTTCAAATTTTTTTAACCCGAAGTTCGATAGCAGTTTAGTTTTTCTTGGTTTTTTAAAATTGTTTCGACTATTTCATGATCTAAATTTTAATGGAATATTATTGTTTCTTTTTCATTTTTTAGTCTGATGATTAATTGCAGTTCACGTCATGGGAGTGGAAAGATAACCAGGCACTTGTCACAATCAGAAACGACACGAATGAAGAAATCTGGCTCGATTATCGAAAATCTTTCATCTACTGATCAACCCAGAAAATCGTCCGAGAACAACGCATCTACTGGTTCAAATTCGAGCAGAGTTAAAGCGGTAAATAATTTTGTTTCATAAAACTGAGGGAATAACATATCAAAATGTTTAATTAATTAATTGATTTAGCAGAATGTAAACATGATCAACATGGTTAGAAGGCTCATTTTCATTGCATAAAATTTTTCTCACTTCCAAACAGCATTACTTGAAGATGTTAAAATAGTTGAAATTAAAATATTTCATTAAATAATTGAGAAAATATAATCCAGTATTAACATCTACGATAGGCAGGTCTGATAATTTTTCAATGATGAGCTTCTTTTCACTTTTAATTATGCTGTGATATCGATCTATTTTTATATCTGGATGATATATGTCCCAGACCAAACTGAAGTCTTTTTTTTCTAAATATACTTATAGGTTAGGCAGTTAAAAAAAGTAGCCATCACTAAAAAAACCAGAGAGGTCAAGTTTTTGAAGTCACATATAGCCTTTCAGCAATAAGTCCTTTGTTTATACTGTATGAAATTCAATTCTCACCTTAATTGTCATTGTTTTCTCAAATATTCTTTAGTTTGATATTAAGTAATATCAGAACTGGATACTGTTATAATACTAATAATATTGAAATCATATCATATGAATTGATATAATCTTAGTAAAATTTTAAATCGAATTAATTATTCAGATAATAGTTCAAATTAACAGTTATGATTTGTTAATATTTGTTCATTCCTTCACTTTTTTTTTTGTTTTTCAGTCAGATGAACCAAACAATCATAAAGTAAACAATAAACTTCCATCGAATAGAGATGAACCATTATTATCAGTAAGTGGTAAACATCGATGTTCCCATTGTAGCATGGAACTTGGCAAGTTTTCATGAAATTTTTTTTTTTCTACGCTTTATACTACAAAATTTATTGTTACACTTGTTTTTGCAAAGAAATCTTTTCTTTTCTTCGGTGACAAATTTCCCATTATTTGAGATATATATCTATCTTTTCTTTCTTTGAATTCCATATAGACTAACTTTTATCTTTTCACATTTTTCATTAATTTCGCTTTCCTTTTTTTTTAAGCCCAAAAAAATCAATATTTTATATGCTTGCCATTAGTATTGCATTTTCAAATTCTCATAAATTTATTTATTACTTTAACTTGGCTTGTTTTTCGGGAAAAAATGCAAAATTTTTTGGAATAACATAAAAAGTGCTTTTTTTTCTTTCTTTTTTCACGTTATTACTTTTTTTTTTTTTTGCAAAAAATTACGCATTTTAGTGAACTGTAATTGTGTTATATGCTTCTAAATATCAACCTGCATCCATCAACTGTATATGTATTGATTTTCATCAAGCTTTGCATGCATTTTTTGCTACTTTACAAAGGAAAAATAAAAAAAACGGGAAAAAAGTAATGACTTACCCGTTATGCTTTATTGCTTTTGTAAATATCACTGCAAGGTTTGTTTATTTTTCTTTTTTTTTTTTTTTCTATTTGCATGATAACGATTTCAATTCTATTTCTGATATACACTTTTAAGATAAGCGAAAGTTATCATTTATTTGTGCTAACACAAATAAATTAAGCTAATTACGATAACAAATTATTATTTTCATCTATAATAGATAAATATATAAATGATTATATCATTGAAATAAACTAATCACGATAATATATCACTGTTGTTTTTTTGCTTATAACATATATTACAATGATTGTGTGATTAACTTTGATAATACAATTTAACTAAGCTAATCACTACACTGTATTATCATTATTATTATAACGATCAAAATGTTTAAGCGGGTGTTTATATACAATCATTTTGCTACATTAATAAATTTATGAGCAAACATGTTTTTATCACTTTATAATATCTATACCACAAATGTAAAATATTTCACTATCAATTTCTAACTTTTACAGGGCGTGGTGCTGCAATGATCATCGAATCGTTAAATTTGTTTTATCATTTGAGTTGCTTCCGATGTTATGTTTGTAAGATGACATTGGGAAATGGAACTCGAGGTACCGATGTTCGGGTCCGTGATTCTAAACTTCATTGCCAAAGTTGTTATAACAATGAGGAATCTGGTCTTAAATTTAGTAAAGTTTAAAAAGTTTAGAACTACAAATATTCTAATCTCTTTTTTTACTTTATATATCAAAACTTTAAGCGTTATTGTTGTATTTGTCATTTTCATAAATTAAATGTTCTTAATTAAATTTTGAAATTTGGAGATGACTTTTATGTTAATTACAAATCATTCGAAAGCAATTTATTTCCTATCATTGTATGATCTTGCCAACTGTATTTGAAGATTTGTCATTTATTTGTCATTTTCACAAACTGTATTTGTCATTTTCAGGAACTAAATGTTCTGAATGAAATTTTGAAATTTGGAAATGACTAGGACAAATTTTAGTCTATGACTGATATAAGACTAATTTGATAGTTAATTTATTTTTTAAAAGTGAATATTACTGATATTGTTTGCTCATGAATATTTGTTCTTATATTATTACTAGTTTTCCTCTTTCTTTTCCTTTTTGAATAGCTGTAATTATACACAGATTGTTGATGATCCTATTTATCTTTACTTTTTTCATAGATTCGATCTAATCTTAACGTAGTTCTCATGCTTAAATGCCAAAATGAGAATGACAAATGTAGCAAAGTGATGATGACATGATGGTGACGTATTGTTTCATTGCATTACGTATAACTTTGATTAAAACCAAATTAAAAAAAACCTTTTCTTATGTTTATATCTTGCACTGACTATATTTTTGCGATCCACAATAACAATATTGTTTATTTTTTATTTTTTTTTCATTTGCTTAAAAATTTTCCATAATTTTATTAAATTTACATTGTACTTTCTTTAAAATTATTTTAAAAATGTTTCCGATTTGTTAGAATTGTTCCTTTTTTTGTTTCTGTTTTGTAATACATATAATCGTATTGATGTATTTTTATTCCTATACTACATAAAAATTAAATTCGCAATGTTTTCAGCAATGTTTATTTAAGGACAATAACATTAATCACTTAGTCAGACCAGTACCGCACATTAGTCATTTAATCAGACTAACATTTGGTCATGCCAATACCGCCTAAGGAGACTTTCTGTTGTATCTTTTGCAACCTAACTTACCTATCTTGCATCGGTCTTTTTAATCATCACCGCGTTTGTAGCAAACATGGGTAGACCCCTCCAAATATCTTCGTTGCCGAAGTTTAACCATGAGATGTTCAAATAAAGTAATTTTGAGCAAGATCAAAAATTCATCGAGGATCCATACCGTAGCCTTTTAAAGCAAATCTCATATTTTGATCAAATATTTAGAAATTAATTTGAAATTTGGGATAAAGTTTCTTTCAAAGGGACAACAAATCTCTCTCGACAAGCAAATCCTGTAGTATATTACACTTCACATAGAACTAAATTTAATTATTCGAATTTCTTTTCTTTCTTATTTGGATCATAAGTTTTCATTGAAACTTTTTATTTTGGTAACAAACTATTAAAATGAAAAAACTAAAAATAAAAAATTCTTCAGAAACTAATTAAATTCTTTAGAAAGTGGAAAACAAATAAAGATGTATTTTATATGAGTAAGGACAACTAGTCATAGTTTCACTATCAAAATAAAATTTCAAAAAAACTTTTGATTTTCATTTTCAGTTTAATAAATAAATGAAAATGATGGATGAATCCAATCCATACAGCCATGTTTATGTATGTATAACTGTTCAGTTAATTAATGGAATAATTGACTGATAATAGGCTAATTTATCAATTAATTATCAATCATTGCTAGAAATTGCAACAATTGTTTGGGTTTTAAACAACATTGAATTCAGTGCAACATTCTATTCATAGTTATAACAAAATTTTAACTGTTTTCAATATTTTAGACATTGTAAAAAAATTTGAAATTCTAAAATTTATCAAAATCTTAACTTTTTCATATTAAGTCTAAAAGATTAAATTCGGATGTTTACAGAAATGTTACACTGGAAAGTCATGCAAATTTCGACAATTCGAATTCCAAAACTTTCTAAACTTTTCATTTTTCATCCACCACCTTTCCTTACTCAAATCTTTATCCTAGGTATTGATTTAATTCTTGGCAAAATAAGTTTCCCAAAATTTTACCAGTAAATTAAAATGATGACGAATAATTGTCGAATATATTTAATTTGTTATATTTTAATCTCTAGCATGTATGTAATGGAATTAACTGATGAACTAAGGTAATGAATTAGCTTGACTCAATTCATTGAACTGAAAATTCATCGGTAAATCAATGTGTCAGCTAACAGATAAGCCAAATTGACTTGTTGAAATTTATTTTCCTAAAATAAGTTATGGAGAAAATTCTAACGAGATAATTCATACCTCTGAAAAATAAGTAATATCCAAATTGAAGAAGTCATGATATCAACCGAATGATTAATAGAAAAATATTCGGTTTATTCACCATTACGTGATTAACACCTGAAAATGTCATATGTGAGAACTTTTTAACCTTTTATAAAAAGATTAATTATATCCATATTATTTTCCTTTTTTTTATGTGCCATCCTTTTATAATTGATAATTTTTAATTTTTAGGAATCATTCCTTTACGAATTTATGGACCTTATAGAATAGCAAATTTTATGACTTTTCGTTATGATTTTCCTTTAGTATCAGTATGATATTACTGAAATTGTGTCATTGTAATTTGTTTCATTTTACGATAATAATTTGAATCGGTCAAATATCTCTAATGTTTTAAAAGAAGGAATTAGTATCACAAGTAGAAGAAGGGATTAATATCATAAGCAAAATCGTTCATATGATACAAGCAAATGAAATTTAAATGCTAGAGATGATAATGGTATTCGTTACTGTATAGTAGAATTCGTTTCCAGTTAAATATTAAATAATCATTAAATATTTACCATTAACTGATAATTAATATTTATAAACGAATTTGATGAGGGAATTTTCCCCAAATTGCAAAAATAAGAATAAAAAACTACTTGTAATTTTAATTTCTCAATTATTTTTCAACTAATTAATGTTGTAATTTAACCAGTTAATGTAATTTAACTAATATTACTCTATATCATAAAGTCTTTTCTATCAGCTTCGTCTTTAACATCAATCACTTTTTATTTTCCCTTTCCATTCCGCACCTTCTTTTCTTTTTTCTTTTTGCTTTGTCGTTATTAATTTTAATGCGACATTTTCCTCTATGTCACATTTTTGTTATTGTCTCAACTTTGTTTATAGCAATTTGCATCATCCTTTCTTCCTTCCTTACTGCTGATTTTTTTATATTATGCATCTCAAAATATGTCGTCAACTAAACTGCCTCAACTTAATTCCTTCTTATCACTTTGTAATCAACTTCATATCCAAATGTTATCATCATTATCATCGTCATTATTACTATCATTTATTTTATTTGCATGCTTTTTTTTGTCCTTCCAGTTATTTTGATATTATAGCAAAAAAAAAAAACCCAATGAACAATTACAATATCACTTTTTTTCAAGTGTACATTGGTTAACCAGTCAATTAATATATCAATAACTGTAAAATACACATTACCAAATTATTATTCTTATTTACAGTTTTATTAAAATTTTTATCCATATATTTGATATTTTATTTGGTAACTAAAGTAATCAGTTATTAAGTATTAAATTAAAAAGAATTTAACTGATCGGATGCTAATAAAATCATCATTTTTCAACTATCTTGTTTATGAAAATTTACATAAATACATGCTGATGAATCATTTCAATGCATTTCATTGCATTCTTTGCAGCTTTTGTATTTAAATTTAGTAGTATTGGAAAGAAAAAAGACTGAAAGTGTACAAATCAAATCAATAAGTATAGAAATTTATATGTTTGTTTATTTTTCTTATTAAAAAGCAAAAATTCTCATTGAAAGTTTTTTATTGAATGGAACAAATAAGTTGATAAGATTTAGTATTGTATCGTAGTTTTTTTTTTTGTCATCAATAAATCTTTTATAGAATTATACAATTATTCTAGTAATGTATTCATAGTATTTGAAATTTTATCCCCAAATTTGCATAACATTATCTTTTTTTCGATTATCTTTACTAAACTATGAATAGTAGTAGTCGATAACGATGATTTATGCTATGACAAAGAAAGCATCACGTATCCACGTGAGATGATTTACTTTAGTTTAAAGATTTCAACGAGTTATTAAAGTTATATTAGAAATGTTTGATTAAAATTTACAGTAAATTTATTTTATTCATTGGATAACCAATAGTATATGTTTATTTAAATAATTCATTCTTTGCATATTGAATAACTCAATTAATTCATGCCATAAATCAATGAATTTCAAAGTGGACAAAATAAAAAACGATTTCTATGTAAGAAAAGAAATATTAATGAATTTTTCAAATAATTTTGTTTATTATTTTCAATAAAAATTCAAAAATAATTTTATAATACTATTCTTTCCGATTTTTCCGATAATTTCGTTTTTTATTTATTATTTTTAATCAAAAGAAATTTTTTTTTATTTTAGAAAACCGTTGTGTCGTTTTTTTACTTTTTTTTTTCTTTAAATTCTAAATCGTACCATTTCTGTTTATATGATGCAATAATGATTTACAGAACAAAAATAACAAACTGACAAAGTTTTTCATTTTGGTTTGTTGGATGCAAAAAAAAATTCAAAGCTTTCATATAATTTAGTTAGCCGTTCTTTTTTTTTCTTTCTTTTTTTAATACCAATACTTTCGATTAGATTTGCAAATTTATCATTCATATAAATGAGACTTATACTAAAGGAATCCGATTTAAAGCTAATAACCACACCTTAACAATGTCGTTTATAAGGCCAACTTTTATGGCTTAAAGCTATGAATATTACTTGTGAAAATTGCTGAATTATCAAACGATTTTATTTAGCTATACATATACTGTAGCTTCATTTTTCAAATATTTTAATATCACTATTTTACATTTACGTTAGATAATTAATTACACAATCGTAACTTTTAAATGTGATAAATTACTTTACCAAAAACTTGTTGCAATTTAAAAATTTTACAACATATTTTAATGGAAAATTTGATATTTCAAGCGAAGAAAATTTGTAATATTTACACAGATTTTGAAAATTTTTAAATTATTTACAAAAGAAATAAAAAAGGAAACAAATTTGTTTACAGCAATGAAAAATTTTTGCAGCCAAAAGGGAAATTTAAATGTTCATTTAACATATTAAAAAATGGTCACTTTATTTCTTTTTTTCTGCATAAAGTATAGTTTGATAAAAATTAAAATTCACTTAAATGACTTATTCAATTTTCCTTTAGTCTTTTGTTCTTCAAAATTTATCATTAAATGAAATAGAATTGATGAAAAATGAAGGAATAGAAGCAAGGGATGGAAAAAATATATAAATAAGATTATTACAATACAAATAACTTGTTTAAAATTATCATGATTTGATTCTTTTTTTTTGATAACTTAATTTTAATATTTCAAAAAGTAAGATTTTTGATTAGTGGAAATGATTAAAAGGAAATAAATGGTCGATTTAATATCATTTGTACTTGGAGATTTGATTATTGTTTCAGTTCTATCTTATTAATTGAACAAAAAAATCCAAAGAATCAAGCTATAAAAAATATGATAGCTAAACTGATGCAATATAGCATTAATCGTATATTTTTTTTAAGTAACCTAAAATATGTCAAATAATTTTATTACACTTTATCAAGTTTTTCTTTTATGCATTCAATTCTGTGTTGCAAATATTAAAATCTTTTTATTCGAAATTTAAACATGCATATTTAACTTTTCTTTTCTACGGACCATAACAGTTCCGATTGTAACAAACTTTTTTCTAATAGCTTTAACAGTGTCACACATGCTATGGTCATTCTTTTATCCATATATCCGAAAGAAGAAGGCCTGCAATGCGAAACTGCAAGTTCCATTTCTATGATTTATGCTTAAAAAAATGGTAACAAATAATTTAAAAATAAAAAACTAACAGTAGAAGTAGATTTGATTCATAAAGCTATGACCACTAATATCCAAATGTTATTCGGTAGTTTGATTTTCTAGATAAGTTACTACTGATTATTATTAAATTAACTGATAATTAAATTTATTGGAGCAATTTAATGGTTGGTAATTTTTCAATTTTAGAAAATTCCTTTTATTTGTTAATATAAAGGTGAAAAATTTTTGAAAATTGAAAAATTAAAAAGTGAAAAATATGAATAATCAAAATTATAAGACACGAGTAAAAAATGTATGTTCAACAAATTTCTCAAATAACTCAAATCCTCAACTCAGATATTCGTTTAATTAGTGAAGAGTATGAAATACATTACATCTGCAATCTTGCATTAATCAAAATCCCTTTTCCTTCTTTATCAATTTTGAAACTAAAAAAGCAATCCCAAAATATTTCCTCTTTTCTTATATCATCAGCTCAATTTTTAAAATCTATAGAATTCCGACACAATTACCTAATGTAGATTTATTGTCCATCCTTGGACCATTTCTTTGACCTCTTTTTTGACTTTTTTTTTCTCTTCATTCAATATTAATTTTCCCTTTTTATCTTATTGTTTATGTAACATTTTAAAACATTTATTTTTTGTCAATTGTTATCTTAACCGATTGATGGATTCAACTAATTCTCAGTTGATCTTTGCTTCCTTCTTACTCCTTATTGAATTAATAATGTAACCAATTAATTAATTAATTAATTAACTCTTCACACCTATAGTTAAAACTCTTTATATTTGCTTATATAAAAATTTTATTAAAATTTAGGCTTATATTCCTCTCCCTCTTCTATATATCTCTTTTTTATTAGGATTGCTTATTTACTTAATACTGTTAAATGTAACTTCACATATTGCTTCGTATACTTTCGTAAAATTATCAGAAAAGCAATATTTGATAGCTTTTGCGTTTATGGCATTTCCCTCTTATTAGTTGTAATATTGCAGAGATATGATTAATAGATATGAGTTAATTTTCCTTTAGCTTATATTATTGGCTCATTTCATGATTTGAAATGACAAAGTATCAGCAGATAATCACCTATTTACTTACTTGTTCATAACAAATGAAATTTTATTTAGCCAACAATATGAGCATTGCTTTTAGCCAATGATCATTTTTAAAATAAAATCCATTAAGATTGCAAGAAAATTAGCATCTAACAAATAGTAGTAGAAGGGCTTAGAAATGGTCAAATAATTTTCATTTTCAAAAATTCAATTCTTGAAATATATCAGTAATGCAATGTGTTATGTGATAGTCTAAAAGTTATCATTTGCCATATAAAAATATATACAGTTTTTTTTAATTCTAAATTCTAAAAATTTGGACAAATTTTATGCTTTTCGTATTTCTATCCTTTTTTATGTTGCAAGAAAAAAATTATTAAAACAGATTAATCATAAGCACTTTCCTTACTTATATTGTAAACATACTAAGTAATGATTACTCCCTTATCACTATATTCATTTCTTTTATTTCTTTATCAAATGCGGATGATACTCAATACCAAACTTTCCAAAAATGTAAAAAAAAAGCAAAAAAATAATGGAAAATTCACAAAAAAAAGAAAAAAATGATTTTTAGACAAAAGGTCAAAAATTGTTATAGTATGTTTTGCTTTATGAAAATATTTAAAAAAGGTTAACTGACTTAATGCTTTATATTAGTTTGTTTTTATATATCATATAGATATGTATTTCTATTTCAACAATTATAGTTAATGTGGCATAATTATAGCAAAAATCAAATTGCTCTCATATCTTCACTTTTCACTAAAAAAAGCCGACCTTTTATTTTTGATTGGAATATTAATATTTTGAAATTGCACTTAAAAATTATATCTTAGCTAAAATAATTTTATCACAATTTATACAAAAAAAAGAATTGCTAATTCATTACTCTGTTAAAAAATGTATTAGAGAATAATGAATGGTACTTATAATATTTGACAGGTAAGAGAAAAAGATGTGAAATTTGTAAATTAACTTCCCTCAGAAATCTTGTACACCCAAAAATCAAAAGTTCCAATACCTATACCATTTTCATCATCTGCTCCGAAAAGCCTTTTCTGTTATTCAGTTTTAACTTTCCTAGGATAAAACAATTGTAAGTTACTGTAATACTTTTTTCATTGTTCATTGTTAATTTTTTTATTAATTTTTTTGTTCATTGTAAATTTTCCATTGTTCATTATTCATTGTTAATTTCCCATTACTTCATTACATGGAATTATACCAGTTTACTGTACTTTAGTCTATCAATTCATTCTTAACGTATTATCGATTCGTCTTATGCTATTAAATAAATATAAGTTTTGATAATATTTTTATAATTACTAAGGCATTTATTTCCAATACTTTTTTTTGGAAAAATTATTAAGTTTTTCATTTCCTGTCAAAAGAGAAAAAAAGAATGAAGGTTGAGGACGGCGAAAGCGACACTTTCTCAATGTCACCAAATGTTGAGGGAGTGTTGTTTATATTGTACATAAATTGATTAGCAATCTGATGGTAGAAATAATTCTGAATATTTTATGAGGTAAAACAAGCATAAGATGATATATTAGCAGAGAAAAAATTAATTTAATAAATCATCGACGTAGCATATTCATTTAAACTTTTTTCCTAATTAAATGCTTCAACTATAATTTTTTAAATTTACCTGCTGAATTTTCAATTAATATATGCTTGAACTTTGATAGCAGATTTATTTTTTTTTGTTTCATTTTTTTGAAATTTTTGAATTTATTTTATTCATTCGCGATTTTTCAGCAAAAGGATTTTTAAAACTGTATTGTAAGCCTGAAAAATTCATTAAATATTCCTAACGAATATTTAAAAACGGAATTTTAAATTAAATCATGCAGTTTGGTAAATCCGACAAATTTGTATTTGACAGGTATTTACAATTTTCACATTAAATCACGCCAATCAATTATTCTAATTAGTTGAAATTTTCAATATCGGCAGCCATTTCGTCTCCCTAATGATTGATTATAAGTGACTAGAAAATACAAAGAAGGTGACCATATTTTCAAGTGGTCCCAGGTATTTTAATCGTAACTCGTAATCCCATCACCATGTTATCGTTATCAACCAGTACCATATGAGGTAGTTTAGTGAATCGAACACAGAAACATCATTATTCTACATTCCAATGATACCAACAATTTTTTCCATATAATCTCATGAAATTATTCATGCGTATTTCCTTATTCTTCATTTTAAAAACGATTTTTAAACAGCTAAAATTATTTCGTTTAAAAAGCCTATAAAATATATTTAGCGAAAATGAATATATGAATTGTTTTTCCTTTTTGTTGATACATTTCTGTTTCCTAAAATAGATTTTAAATTGTTAGAATTAAAATAAGTTAAAATTTTTTCTATAAAATATTTTTTCTATAAAAAATTTTCTATGAAATATTTTCTATAAAATATCAAATATGCAATTTTTGCTTATTTATTTCCTGTCTTATAGTACCAATCAAGTGTTTATTTGAAAGAGTAAACTTTTTCTTGTATTACAAAAATTAAAAATCCATCAATTTCTATCTAATTTCCGTTTTTTTCTTTTTTATGTATCGATGATTGCTTTGAACTTTATCAAGTTTAGTGCTAATTCAATTCATTGATTAATGGTTGATTAATATTGCTTAATGCTACAATTCATTGATTAATGCTATTGTTGTTCTTTAATATTTCAGAAAGCAAATGCAACTGTGATAGAATATGAAAGTGTCACCAGCTATCTGTTCAGTGAAGAATGCAAAAAGCACTTAAGATATTTATTTTTGCCATATTAATATTTCTTCCAACTGTTGTTATTATTACTAAATTAGATGATGGTATCATAATGTTTGAACACCAATATGAAGATGATATTTCACGGTTAGTGTAATCTTTCTCTAACAAAAAAAATTTGCTTCACACGAATGACACCATTGTCACATTTATCAGGCATTCATTCTTATTATTATCTTATCAGCAAAATTTAATGTTTAAGTTATTCATAAATTGAAATGCTATAGTTCCAAAAGGAGCCTGAAATTAAGAATTTTGAAAAGAAAATTGCTGGTATTGATTTTATAAGCTTTATGTATGAAAGAAGAGATGGTATACGTCATTTCATCTTGTCCTAATTAAATATCCGAAAAATAAATAAAATAATTTTTTATTCTTTTATTTTGACTATAACAAGTCAACCAAAAGATTTTCTGTTCTCTATCATTGCTATCATATCTATATAATGAACCATTAACATTTAACATTATAATCAATTTATAATCACTGTTACGGCTAATGTGTTTATCACTTATCATCATCAATAAATGTACTACCCATCATCAATAATTTCAGATTTTATATATATAAAAATTATTGTGTGTTGCCCTATTTAAGCCATAGTGGCATGGAAAGTAATATGGATATATTTGAAAGGATTACGCTAGTTTTACACATCAGTTATGATTATTTGAGTGATAATATCTTGGAACAGGTATTTACATCAGTATCAAATCATTTAAATTTAAATCAGTTTTACATGTTAATTACAATTATGACAATTTTTTTAAACATTATTTTCAGGTATTTTAATTCCAGATATCATATAGCTTATGGTTACTTCATTCCTTAGCTTTTTATAAAATTTTATTTATAAGAAATTAGGAAATTAAATTAGGCATATTATGAGGTCAGAGTTTCACTTGTACTTGTATAATGAAACTATTGTTACAAGATGTAATGATGTTCATTAATGGGTGTCATGATTGATTAGTTGATTGATTGATTGATTGACTGACTGATTGATACAGAAATGATTGAGTTAAAACAAGTAAGTTCGGATCAAATAATCACATCAGTCGATCACGAAGATTTGCTTCACCTGAAATTGAATAAATGATTATTCTAACCTTATAATCTCAAATAATTGCATTGATTTCTTGAATTTATCTGTTGTTTATTTTAACTTGAGGAAAAAAAATTTTTTTTTTTCGACAACTTGGGGGAATAATTTATTGGAATGTTTCAGCTTGAATCATGGGATGGTCCGGTGACGTTTGTGGTAACAATACCATCTGCAGAGGTTTACAAGAAGATACGAAAAATTAGAGAAACGGTAAAAAATGATTTAATTTTTGAATTAAGTTTAATTAGATGTAATTATTAACTATACTACAGTCAGTTAAGAGCTCAAAATTCTAATTGACATCACACTATGATGGTTTTTAATTTTAAAATTTTTATGATTTCAGCTATCACGCTTTCCCTCTCAAGTGTTACACAGATTAAGTGCTCACATGTTATTCCAGTCTAAGTATGGATGCAAAAAGAATGTAATTGATAAGTTAAATGAAACTAATAGGGACTGGAGATATCCCGTTAATGTGGCACGGAATGTAGCAAGGATGGTAAGCAGAATATTTTGTTAGAATAATTTTGGATGGAATTAATAGTAGAGAGTTAGAAAAGATTTCCTGATCTGACCATGTTGTTGAAGATTCTAAACGACAGATATAATGTATTCAATTAAGGTAAGCAACAGTAAAGTAATTAAGTGTAATGATTAAATTAACAAGTATTGGTGGAAAACATTGCTGAAGCTAGCGGTGGAACAATTCACAATTCTAAAATGGATCAATTAATCTGTTTAATTTTAAAATCATCAGAATTTCTCTATCTTCAACATTTCAGTTCGTAAGATCTAAATATGTGTTAATCAGCGATTCAGAATTTGTTTTTTCCGAAGGATTTGAAACCAAAATGTGTGCATTAGCACGAAATCAACTGACGCGCAATCCAAAAACAGCACTTGTTGTACGAATATTTGAAGTGAGCGACACCATTAAAGAGTAGGTCAAAGGTTTATTTGTGCAAGGCTTTTTTTCCGTAAGAAAAATTAATGTAAAAATTGTATAGTGCCAGGTGAACTGTATTGTTACTCATACAACCAATGGATTTGTTAATTAATTAAAACCATTCTAACAATCCCATTCAACATAACACTCACACAGAATGCAATAGGCGAATTTTGGTTTTATTGGGATTTTCTTCATCTTTTTCTTCGAATATATAAAATAATATTAGGATGGTCTCATTTTAGAATTACCAGTTTTTCCTGGGACTACACCATGGAATTTTAAGGGCTTGTTCGTCTAGAAAAAGGATACATGATTATTCGCCTCTTTTTCTATTAATTTTCTCATTGTGCTTTTATGAAATATTTTATCACTTCTTTTGTTATGAAATAAAGTTTTAACTTTAACTGTATTTTTGTTTACTTTTTTTAAAACTTCTAGATGATACGAATATATCGCTACCAAATATTTGTATTAAATATTTGTCATTTTAGGATGCCACGTAACAAAGCAGAATTGCGAGAGTTATTTTTCAAAGGACTAGCAGTAGAATTTCATGCTCGATATAAGATGACAGAGCATACCATTCCACATCTGGATCAATGGTTTAACAAACGAGAGAACAAACAGGATGTCAATATAAACTCCGTTCTAAAGTAATGATTTTTTTTTTCCATTAAAAGGTTTTTTTATAAAGAATACATTATCAAAACGTAAGGAAATGTTACAAAATTTAAAGCAAATCATAGAAAAATTCATCATCATCATCATCATCATCATCATCATCATCATCATCACTATCCATTCATTTTTTCCTCTACTTTTTTTTTCAGATTTTCAAGACGTGGTTGGGAGCCACAATTTGTTTCCTTAAATACGATACCACTTCATGATGAAAATTTCCCATTTTCATTACGTGATAATACAGTTCTTGTAAGTCATTTCGTTTATCACTTCATATGTAAGAGTAAAATAAAGAGAGTAGGAAAAATAACAATTGAATATTAGTAAACATATTTTTTATCATATTGCTAATAGAGAAAAGAAAAAGTGATACAGAAAGGTTCCTCCAAATTCATGGCTCTCATCCATCAAATTACATGTTGACTGATGTTCCTACGATGCCAACAGGATTTTCTCTCTAAATGGCAATAATAAATTATCATACTCGTTATTATCAGATGATCAGTGATAATTAATCACTTTTTCGCAAAAGTTAGAAGTCATCCTGATCTTTAGCAATATTTCGTTAACGAAAATAATTAAGTTCAATGTTATTTTAACGAAAATCCAGTGTAACAAAAGTGAACTTATTTCCCGCACTTTGTATCACCCTGATAATATTTCTGCCCCGAAAATTATCCTTAGTAATAATTTATGAAAAGAAGATAAGTAACACATGATAGATATAATATTTAAAATAGCTTTAATTTTATTACTTTCTGTGCAACTTAGGACATTACATCATTCACTATCATTCACATTCACTATCTCATTCACTATCATTCACATTCACCATCATTCCGCAAGTACTGACCCAAGGATCAATAATGGATCAATCAATCAATCAATCAGTCATTTCATATAACAGTTGAAAGTTCACTTAGCGTAATTACCTGTTGTGAGCAGTAAAGTACACAAAATTTGGATATTAAAGTGATTGGTAATAGCCAAATTACTTATTTAATGATGAATCATTAACAACTGAATCGTGATTGTTAATTCTTCTCTTTTTGGGAAAAAAATTTTATATTTATTCTTTAATCCATCTGTAAGACGTATGGAAGATAACAAAACGTTAAACTTATAAGCTTGAGACGTAAATTAAGTTGACAACTAACAATTACTCCATAAAATTACTAATTTTTTAGCAATAAACTTTTAAAAGTATTTAAATAGTTTAGGATTATTTCACCTGTATGTGATAACATTTCCTTGCAGCGGTGGGAAATGTGCCGTCAAAATTATACGTTTGCATTGGTGAATGATTTATTTATGGCACATCGTGGCATCAAAACCGTATACCATCTACCACTTACTAGGAAACGTCAAAAACATTCTCGAGCGCAATTTAACATTGCAATAAAACTTTTCAAACAACGTATGGATCACCAGTATCCAGAAACTAAGAAGTTCTGTCCAGAATTTGGTGCTTAACATCGAATTATCCATAAATAGTATTATATTTTAAGATGCTTTCTAAAAATATGAAACTGAGGAGTTATTTACTTATCGATTGGCCTTGATATTGCTACATTTCAAATTTTAAAAGTAACATTTGTGACAATTTTTAATATTTTTTATAATTGTATCTAAAATGAAGTACAATTAATTCATGAGATAACCTAATATCTCGTACATCTGTTGCAAAGATAACGTAGTTATTCTGACAATCATAAAGTAAATGACAAATTCTTTTGTTTAACTTATTGCTGCGCGAATCAATGAAAATCATGAAATTGATTTTACGTTGGTATTAATTTACCGAGCTGCTACGGATTAATCAATAAAGAGAATTTATTCTTGCCACGAAAATATCAAACCTCTGAATTAATCCAAGGAAACCATTATTTTTTGAATTAAAATTATCACAAAATCTCTATATAATTAGTTTCAAAATTTCAATTACAAAGTACAATCATAAATATTTTGAATTTTCTAATAATTCTTACGAATCTTCTTCCCGATTCTTTCTAAATTCGGAAAACAGAAATAAGATTCAGTTTTACTTCTTAAATGATATTTTTACGAAAAACAAATAACAGCATTAAAAGTGATAGTATTAATGGTGGAGGAATTCGCATCTTTTTTTTCTTTTTCTACATGATACCGTAAAAAAAATTCTAGATAATCTCTATTAGTTAAAATTCCAGAAAATATATCCCATAGAAAATTCCAGGAAATATTTATTATGAAAAATTCCAGCATATGCTTTCCATGGAAAATTCTAGAAAACGTAATATGGAAAAGTTTAAAAAGCATCTACTTTCGAACAAGTTCGACTTTCGAACAAACAAGTTTTACTTTCGAACAAGTTTTCGAAACAAGTTTTTTTTCTGACCAATTCCCAGCCAACTTTTGTACATCATTCTCTTCCAATGAAATAGGTCATAACAAAACAATGTGTTTCACGTGGTTACTCAGAAATGTTATTTTAGACGTGGTATCAAACATAATACATTCTTCTAATCATTTATTTCAAAGCAAATTTGGCCATGTAATCGCCAAAAGTCAGGTTATTGCTGGACATATGGTAATGGACAGTGGTCAACGATTATAATGCTTCAACCAACATTTCTTCCATTCCTTCTGGTTTATGATTGCAGAACAAACAGATATTCCTTTAATTTCAATCATCACACTATTTGTTGCTGCAAATAGCAGTGAATTGATCGAATTTCAGTTTCATAAAGTATTTAGGAATGTATAATTAATAGTAATAAAAAACAGTAAAACTATTTGTCTCATTGCGATGCCCAAAATTATTCAAAGGAATGAAACAAGCAAATCGACAGGTAATGATCGAATGGAAGAAAAAACAAGGTACAATTAAATTATGGTAATCACATGATTTTGACACAAATCATCTCATAGTTCCACCGTAACACCTTTATATGGTGATCCATCACATTCTAAATGGCCTCTTACGGTAACATTCTTTTTGCTACCAAATAATTCAAATGTATAGGTTGGTAGTAGGAAGAGTAATAAGAGTCGCATCGATTTACCGCAATTCTGGAAATGTGAAAAAAAAAGTTATTTCGGTCAGCAAACAGATAAAATCAATTCGACGATAATTACACTTTTAACATTTCCACATTCAATTTTCATTATCATTAAAACAAATATTAAGAGCAAATTGGGCAAATTCAATTAGTAAGATGACGAAACTACGAATACCATAATAATGCATTAGAAGAGAAATTATTTTAATTAGCAAATGGTTAACAATATATATAACTGTTAACATTTTTTTCATTTCCTTCGATTAATTTTTTCGTTTTCCATTTCTTCTCAAAATGTAAATACATCAAAGATTTTTTTTTTTAATATCATAACTTCAATTGCTAATTATTGATGATATGATTGTAAACTTATCACATTGTTAATTGATGACAAATATATTACCAATGAAACAGATAAATGGAAAAGATCGGGAAACTTAAAATTAAAATTTTTGAGCATTACATAAAAGCGTTAGTGCAAGCAACTGCTTTGTGCAAGCAACTTGATGATAATATTGATGATTATAATGATGAAAGAGATAACATTGAAAGCTGATATGAATCATCTTTCTATACCTCAATTTATCCCCTGATCTTCCTTTTTGTTCATTTTATTTTTTGCAATTCCCCTTTTTGAAATCTGAACTAACAATTTATTGATCGATCAATCGATGTCAGAAATTTCGAATGTGCCAAAAAATTATTGGATTTGTATTTGCAAATGAATTCGAAACCTATTCCAACTTTTTAACCAATTAATTACATACACATATATGTAAATTAACTTCCCGATATATTACAAATTAATTCTTTCCATTTAAATTCCTCATTTCATTACAAACGGATTTTGTTTGGATGTGAAAAGAATTCCAATTTTTTCATTATTCGGAATGTAAAATGATGATATCATAACCTTTTAAGAATCTCCGAGTTATATAAGTTAGTATTTCCTCCAACAAATATTATATCTAATTGTTGGATTGTTGTTCCAGGATTTCTTATTACATCAAAACACTTTTATTAAAAATTGGAAATTATACTTTCCAAAGAGAATATTAATGCGTTAGTATAAACGTAATTTATTATGCATGTTTACTTCAGAAATATGTGTTTAGCAAAAGTTCTTTTATTTAATTAGTAACAATATGAGTTGATGAGTTATGTTCGAAATTAAAAATCGAAATTAAACACTTAAATAATGTTTGTCGAAGTAAATATGTAAATAATTTTCTCAAAAAAATTCATTAATTTTTTTAACTTTCGTTATAATGCTATTATTGCTCTTATAGCTAATAATTTTATAGAATATTTTCTTAAATAGCCTAATGATGATATAGCAAGTAATTATAATGATAAGTAGTAGGATTATTATAACAGGAATGATAATATCAAGCATGTAATATGACATAAATGACATCTTTCTGCCGTATGGATCGAAATTTGCTATTTGACCAAATTTTGCAGCAAATTCAACATGCTTAATGAGCTGTTCCTTGGCTGGATTAGGCTTCTTTGCCATCATTTCTGATAATCTTTTTGCTTTTTGAGAATAACTAAAATATGCAAATAAAATAAACAAATTTATTGTTGTATGCTTTTTTTTCATGTAAATTATAAGTAAGTCAAAAGATAAGCTATTAATAATTTAATGGTAGTAATGATAATGATCTGATATGGGAGAGATAAATAATCAGCATTATCTTCTAAGTCCTATTTTAGTTTCTTGAATTGATACATCTGTACTTCGGAATATTTTTAATATTGATTGAAGTAATTTTCCCCCTTGTTTTCTTGTTTTTCCTGATTTCCCCATTTTTTCCCTTATTCTTTTGTCATTTTTTTCTTCTTATCTGAATCGTCTCTACTCGTTTTATTTGCTCGATTAAGAAATAAATTTCAAAAAAATCCAAAATATGTGTTAATCACCATAAGTTGCCAGATTTTAGCTCATGAGATTTTAAAAAAAACGATATTTGACTTTATTTGGTTTAAACAAATCTCTTGATAATATTTATTTTTAACTACAACGTTTATCTCACAATTGTAAATGTCCTTTTCATGATGGAAATATTTGAGAAATTGATCAAAGTTTACCTTTTATCATAAATGATGTTATTGATTGCATCCCGTGTTTTTTTTTTATTGCTAGTTCCGAAAGTGATAATTTGATACCAAAGCCTGATCGTTCAACCAGTACAGCATTTTGCATCTGATCACCAAATAACGGTACCACAACAACAGGTTTTCCATAATTCAAAGTTTCCGTTATGCTATTCATACCACCATGCGTCAAAAATGCTATTAAATTTGTATGTGCTGGAATTTATTTTTTATTTTAATTTAATAAATTTATTTTCCTGACGAATTTTTTATTTTTTGCATAAAATTACCTAATAAATCAGATTGCGGAAGCCATTTTGACGTAATCACATTTGGATGTCTGTCAGTAATTTGATGCTCATCTTTTTCATATTTCCAGATAAATGTCACATTTGGAAAGTTATCGAATACTTCCAGGAGAGCTTGCTTAGTTTTATTGGGCATCCAACAGCTTAATGTAATGGTACCGAATGATACGAGCACTACTGCTTTCCGTTGATTCATTATTGTAAGCCAATCCTGTAAAACCGAAAGATGGATGGATGAAAATATCACCTTATATAAAAAGTGTAATTTACAAGCCTCAACAAGATAAAAGGAAGGGAATGATGTAATGTATATATTACAATCATCGACCAAGTGATTTTTGGCTTTCATATATTAGTTAGATCAAATCATACTTCAAACAATTTGACACCAATCGATAATGCTATATTTAAGTATTAGAGGCATTATTTAAATCATTACAAGTCACTTGTGCAGCAAGTTATTTCTGTTTAACTGCCTTCTTGCAATGATAAAATATAGATTTAACTTACTTTATTTAATGGTTTTGATTTTGGCAAAGCAAGACCACCAAGTTCTAACATTTTATGAATAGTTGGTCTTGAGATATGGAAAAGTGGATCAGTATTTGTGAGCACATATGTCACTTGAGCTAACTTTTCCTAAAACAATAATATTCAATCCGAAATTCATGAAAACTCTGTTAACAGCATTTCAAAATCTATCAAACCGCACTTTTTTTTTTTGTAACGGAAGTGATAAGTTGCGAACAGTGATGAAATTTGTTCAATTTTTTTATCATGCAATGAAATTCGTTCAAAAAGAAAATTTTTTGCCTACATTTATTCATCTTCACTTGCTTCTTTTCTTAATTTACCGGACGTATGTTTTTATCACTCCGCATAAAGGTAACCTAGCGATTTTTCTAATCATAAACTTTTGAACCGTTCACTTTATCACTGATTAGAAAAAACAAGCATGATTGATTATAATTAACAATCCATCGAATTCTTTTTTTTTCAAATCTTGATTTTGATGCTATATTATACCTTTAAATCGATGAACTGATCGCCGTAAAGTCGTCGGAATAATGTTTGACATTTTGCCGTAAGATTATCCAACAATTTATTCGTTAAAATTGTCACGATGAGATTTTTCACCCGTTGTAAATATGTCATATGATCGGTATATTGTGTAAGCAAATCTGTAATATATCTTTAATTTCAGTTTCTTTTCATAGTTGAAAGAAAATAATAAAGCGAAAAATATTTCAAGTGTGGAGGGATACGTAGGCAAAACTGCAAAATTACTTTTTAAAATAAGAAATAGTAATTTGCTTCAGGAATTGGTTGAATAATAATTCAATTTTTCAATAAGTTTGCAAGAAAAGAATGAAGTCAAATGATCAGGCAAGGCTATATGTTTTATCGATACCGTTTTTTTTTCTTCTTAACAAATGTGTCATCAGTTATAATTAATTATTGCTGCTAGATTTTTGTAGTTTCAAAACTTGGAAAATTTTGATTTCAAAAATTTTCAAATTTTTAAACGCTCTAAATTACTAAATTTCACTTGGAATATAACTCGGGATGTTTGGTACACCAAAACATTTTGTGGCATATTCAAATAAAGCAGTAGGACTAACGATAATGTGAGCTGGTATATGAAACAGTTCAATCATTCCTGCAATTCGATTACGAATTATTTCATATTAAGTGAGAGGAATTTAAAACTGAGTAATTATAAATTTTCCAATAAATTTGTATTTTAAAATATTCATAAAATGTAATATCTTTTCTAATTCAGAGAGGAATTATTTTGAAATTTGTTTCAACATTTCAACTTAACCGTGTAAAATTTTATATTAAAGTAACTCATCGTTATAATATATAATTCATATTTATAAAATTAAAATTTAAGATCTCATTTAAGCTCAACGATTTCAAAAAAAAACTTTATTTCATTGAAATGTTCCATAACTTCAATCACAAGCTTATATAGTCAAATGATATCTATAATTCAAATATTTAACCTTTCATACTGCAAAAGTAACTTACCAGCAAAGCACTGATTAAATTCGAAAATGGCCAAGTCAAACTTTTCAGCCTTCAATTCCTCCATTATCTTTTCGTGTTTCAATTGAAACTCACAGTTCTTTACAAGAGCATCCGACAGTTGTTTAATGGTCTTAATTGAAATGAGTTTTTTTTTCTTTCCCTAAGTAATATAAGGAGTTATTTTGATGTCTTTTTAAAGACTACAACGATCGATATTTGGATACCCGCTATTGCTTATCTATCGGCAAAAGGTGATAAAAAACATTGCTGATTGCTTGACAATTATACCCCTAGTCTGTTTCTCTTCAATTTGTCACATTCTCATCATCTTAAGCTTTATCAATAAAATTTTTAATACCATAAACAAATACCGGAATAAGAGAGAAAATAGATTGCTGATTCTCCAACCAAGCATTTTGAGCAAAAATTTCTATGTTCATCATTTTTGATATTTCCGGATCAGCATCTATCCGTATTGTTTTGGCAAGTTTAGAACCGGTCGAATCAAAAGATTTGAAAAGTACAGGGGCAAATTCGGTCTGTAAAATAAGAACACTAAAATAACAGTCCATGTTAAACTATCTTTCTATCAAATTACATCATTTTGCATCATTTGGTAATTTCTCTTCTACACTTTTTTAAATTCCGAAAAATTCAAATTCTAAAATTCGAACAAAAAGAAAGCACTTGCCACATTATGTCCAGCATTAACCAATGTATCAGCGATAGAACCCAAAAATTCGACGTGACTTTTACCGAAACGTGGATTGTATATCAATATTTTATATGCATCATTTGCAGATACACAGAATACGACAATAAGAGAAGCCAAATACCACTGAAGACGATGCATTGTCTTATTCCAATGCCAAATATTTTGGTCACTTCCTACGATGAAAAATAAATTCGATGCTTCAATGTCACATCTTCAGAGAAATTAACCTGTGATCTTTGTTGAACTTAATGAGTGAATTTAACGGATGGACTAACTCTAATAGTATATTTAAGATTTTGAAGACTATTGTCTTCAACCTTCAGAAGTTTATTTTCATTCTGCAATATAATTCAATTCAATTTATGTATTCGAAACATTTTTGCACCTGTACACATTACGGATAGAACTTAAAATTCAAATTAAAAGTGGATTTTAGTGATGGTCAAATTTTAGTAATAAATTTCAGTCAATAAGGTAAACCTATTACAACTACAAACTCTAATATTTCAAAAATAAATTAAAAAGTAACAAAATGCGCTTTATCAATTTTGTCCAAGCAGAACAGTACTAATATTGGGGATGACTTGAAAAAAAAGTAATTATTGTTGTATTTAACTACTATCAGAAAAAACGCACTAGAAAAACTGAGATACTTTGTAACTCTCGTGAAAACATACTGACGATAAGTAAATGATATATATTACCGTGCATTATCAGTTTATCAGTAAAAATATGTCTGAATGGGCTTTTATCTGGTAATTTTTTCTACATTTCCCACCTCATTCTTGTTATTACCATTTTGTCGTCGTTCTTCCATCTTAAACAAACAAAAATGATTGTTCAGTGAAATCTGATAGCAGGAAATCAGGACACATTTTATAGTTTGCAACTCTGCTTTCCTCTTTTTTTTATTTTAATTGATTAACTAGATTTGTTTACTCTACCTAATGATTTTATGGCAAGTATTGCAGGAAAACTGATGCAGCAGTGAATGGTATAAATATGTCATTGATTAGTTTTAATTTAAATTTTTTCAAAAATCAGATTTTTGCTCCTTAACATTCCCATTTGATTATTTATACTATTACGAATTTTTCTGAGTTCATTGTCACAAGTTGCACCGAAGTATTCGTGTGACTTCTTTTGTGTGCATACAAAATACTAATACATAATTCAAGAGCCCATAAAAGCCATGTCGAAAGCTTTAAAAATTTAAATAATAAAGTATTTTGGAAAATGTGAGAAAGCGAAGAACGAGAACTTTGTTTGAAATCAAAATATTCAAATAATTAAGCAGAAATTCAGACATTCCAAAATTTTGCTGCAAAATGAGCAAATTATCGTTTGTAACCAATGAGTGTGATAAACTTTTCAAACGATACAATGATTGGAGGACAATTCGATGATCGCAGTACATCCGTTGTTCGGCACTTTTCCTAGCTTTTGTTCCATTGACCTCTTGTCGAGTCTGAAAGTAAGAAGTCCAAAGTACGGTAGTAATTGCATTTACAAGCGCTTATCAATTGAGAAAAACGATTAAAATACAAGTAAACAACACGATTGAACGTTTTCCCATCCAACGACATCTATTCAGTACGATAACAAAAACTAACCCAATTCAATCAGCCGAAAAGTTTTGCTGGAATAATTACTGCAACTGACAAACTAAGTTATTAATTGGATGAAAAGTCATTGAACCCCAACCCTAATATTAAGATTGATACATTTCGGTTCCCCACTCAATGTGTCTTTACTTATCCTTTTCTTTGTCTTTCCGATTTTCATTGGTTAATCTGGTTAAGGTTCTGACGGTTGGGTCTACATCAGAAATGCTTCAAACCACAAAAACTCTTTAACTGACATATTTCAAGAAAGTGCGGCATTTAATCCCTTAAAAAACGGCCTGATCAACGAATATATTTGAGGAAATCCAAAACTACACTGATTTTACGGTGACTGCAACAGCAAAACAATATTTGAAACTCGCAACTTTTCAATGTTTAAATTCAGAAACATTTATTCAATAACAAATTCTAATGATTTAAAATTTGGCGACAATTCTGTCATGGAATTGATCCATATGTTCCTTTATCTAACTTATTTTCTAGCACTACCACTACTTTTTCTGCTATTTTTGGTGTCAACATCCTAACGATGGTATGAAGCGACAAGACCGGTGACGGTGAATGTAATAACCAATATAAAGGAATTATAAAGAGAAGAAATCTGAAATGGATTTAAAGGAAAAAACGAAACATATGGACGGTAATTCTGAGTTGGTTATAGCAAACAGAAAATATCACACTTCATGATCAGCATTAACTAACGGCTGAATTCAGGAATTTCAGCTGGCGTGACCTTTAGTGGAACGTGGATTGTATACCAATATTTTTGTATGCAGCAGTCATTGATACCCACAACACAATGAGCAAAGCCAAATGCCACTCAAGCAAGTTACATTAGCCTCCATATCAGATTAGTTTTGAATTGTTGTTCTTTGTTAACTCCCGAGCACTTCATCATCCTGCTTTTCTCTTATTTTTTTTAATTTACCACACCTATCTCATGATACTAAATCCTTCTCCAACCGTCCATCTTGCTTTGTTGAATTTTCATTGAAATATGAAAAAAAACAGATTAAAAAATGATTGCTCAAAAACAACACAGCTTAAAATTAACAAGAAAAACTTCACTTTTGTCGTGAAATAGTAAAAACTGCCAGATAATTTATTTGCCGAGCTCAATGGTTGGGTAATCAAACTCCAATCAAATCTATCCAAATGAACCGCTTAGTGCGAAAGCGTTTGTCCGGAGGTCGATTTGTCTTGTGAATACGCAATAGTAAGGAATATTAACCTTTATCG